AGGAGCATGGCCAGAGTTTGACTTGTGCCTGAAATGAGTGAATAGTTGCAGAGTTATCAACTTGAACCCAACCTATGTCCATAGAGCATTGTGAGGTATCAAGCTCAATAACAGAGCCATCAGTATAAAATGAAATAGTGGTTAGATTATAGTTAAAATTAGTGATAGACTGTAAGCTATTAGTGAGTGATTAGACTGAAAAATACAAGGCAATTGTTGTGAGTTGATTATTAATGAAGGAGTTGGTGAGATATGTAAAGGATGTCAAATAGCTACAGAGTATGCAATATCAAGAAACTTGGCATATAGGTTAAGAGTTTTGTCTGATTTAATATAGCAGAGTAGTTTTGTAGCCAGGTTTGTAGGAATAAAGATAGTGCATTTGTTGACAATTGTATTGGAATTAAGGTTGCATCCAAGACATAATGTAGTGGAAGAGAGAGAAGTAGGATATAGGTTTGAAAATTGGGACTGATATGAGTAGTGTCAGTGAGTAATAAGAGTAAGGCCTATAGGAGTATTGGGTTAATTAAATGATAATTACTAATTATCAAAGATGATAATAAAATAATTTTTAAATAACCTAATAATTATATAATTTATTATATGTCTCTTATAAAAGTTTTGTTTGATTAGTTAATACAAGTTAATTGTCTACAATATATATTAAATCTTTAACTATATATTAATAAGATACTAGATTAGTTATTATTTGTATATTATTTAGATTATTTGTTAACTACTATATTTGCTTTTATTTTGATTTTTCATATAATTACATTATATAGAATTATATGTTTTGTAAGTATAAGGCAGGCATCAAGCTTATTATTATTTTTATTATTTATAGTTTTATTTATTGTTTGAAGTTTTATTTTTAATAAAAAAACTTTAGAATTTTATTTAAAAGAATTTTTGAATATTAATACAACAAAAAAATATAAAAAATAAATATAAAATCTAAAGAAAACTCAAATTTTGATCAATAAAAATAAATATTCTATAAAAAAACATTTTATATAAATTATTCTGTTTTTGTACATTTATTAAATTTTAGAAATATTAATAAACTAATTCAATTTACTTTTTTAATTAAGATCTCTAAAACTTAAAAATAGAATATTATGAAACTTCTTCTAATTGCATATTAAAATATTATCAAATATTTATTATTAATTGTATTTTAAGTTAGTTTATATACTTTAAGATTATTATTTACTAATCTAAATTTTATGTAATTTTTAAACTTGTTAATTTAAAACAAAATTTATAATATTAATAGCTTATCATTTATTTATATTAGAATATAAATAAATATTTTAATATATTTTTCTTAAAAAGTTCAATTGTAAACAGATAATGTTTTAAGTACACTATATATGATTTTGTATATGACTATATGAGCTTATCATAAATATATATTATAAAAAATATAATGCCAAATTTTTCTTTTCTAATTATTTAAATATAAACTAAATTGTTAAAAGAAAATTTATTCAATTATATTTATATATTTTATAGTTTTAGATTAAAATTTCTTAATGTACTTGTCAATATTCTTATTTCTACTTGTTTATCTTTGTATTAATCATTGAAGAATGCATATTTTAATACCAAGTATAAGATGTATTATATTGTTTGCATTTTGCATATGTACTGTATTTATAATCTCTTTTATAACTAAATTTATTACATATTAATATATATATATTTGTGACTGTATTTTGAATTAGTTCATAAATATTTAAGTTCTTTAATTAACTTAATTGATTTATTAATTGCTATATTAAATATATAATAGCATATTAATTAATATAAGATTAAATTAACTATATGTCTGATTTAATGTCTAATCTGATATCTGATATAATAAAATAATATAAAATTTTAAATTATTTTATGTTTGTATCAATATTTTAATTTTCACTTTATATAATAATAAACATTTAATTTTTTTAATATATTTATAATTTATATAATATATTTTATTTAACTACATTGCTAAAAATCTATTACCATTCTTTTAAACAATAAATAAATTATTAAAAAGAATCTATTCAATTAAATCTTTATATTTAGTAGCTTTAACATAAAATTTTTTATTGCAATTGTTGATATTCTTATTTTTACTTGTCTATTCTTATATTGTCTTCTAAAGATTATATGTTTGATATTAAGTATAAAATGTATTCTATTATTTGCAATTTATACATGTTTTATTATTTTTATTTCTTTAAAATCAAATTTATCAAATACTAATATATATTTATTTGTTGCAATGTTTTGAACTAAATTATAAATACTTCTATTATCTAATTAATTCATTAATTAATATATTAAATATATTAAAAATAAATATAATAAGTATACTAATTTTTGAAAATTAATTACCTATATTGATATTAAATGTTTTATAATATATTAATAAGATACTAAATCAGTTTTTATTTATACATTATTTAGACTATTTGTTAACTTTTTTATTTCTAATTTTTAGTATAACTATATTATACAATCACTTTATTTTAATAAATGTTTTAAGTAAATACTAATTATAAATACTATATATATATTAAATAATATAATATATTAGTTCAATTCTTTAATCTAAGTCTTATTTTTGTAAAGTTATATAATAATGTTTAATTACAGATTTAATAGTATAAAATGTATTAAATTATTATTTTTTTTAATACTATATGTTATCTACATTAATTTAATAATTCTATAGATTTATTTATTTAATAACTTTAAATTATTAATAAAATAATGAGTTGTATCTAGTATAATATTTGAATATTAACAATCTACTTTTAACAAATATTAAATATAAACAGTTTAGTTCTAACTTAAATTAGGTCAATTATAATAATAAAAAATAGTTGAGTTAGAATTTTAATTTTCTTTAAATAATTTAAATATTTAATTTTAATAATAATTTAAATAAATAAACAAAATAATAAAATAAAATAATAATAAAATAAAATAATAAAATAAAATAATAAAATAATAAAAAATAATAATAATAATTTGTAAATTATATATAGTAGTAATAAAAAAAACCTGTAACAGAAAAAAAAATTATTGCTTAAAATAATTATATTCTAATTTTATCAAAAATTAATAAAATTCTTCATTATAAATTGATTCAAAATCAATATCTGAATTTTTTTTAGATTCAGATTCTTGTTCAATATTATTATTTAAAGTTAAAGTATTTTCAATATTATTAATATTATAAGAATTTAAATCTATCATTTCTGTTATAAGCAAATCATCAAGATTGAATTCTTCTGTTTTATTATCTATATCAAAACTATTTTATTTTTATTTTTATTTTCATTTTCATCTTTATTATTATTATCTTCTTCATTAAAAAAATTGTTATTTTCAATAAAAGCTTCTGTTATTTCATTAATAGTTTTTTCTAATTTATTTTTATTAAAATTTTTTTTAGAAAATTTAATTCAGATATCATATTTGTAATGTAAAATGAATAAATCTGTACTATTAATTGAAGAAGATTAATATTTAATCTAAAATATTTTAAATAAAGTTATTAAAATTACAAAATAAATAAACTAATTTTTATTTTTTATTATTATTATTTTTATATTTATCTAGTTCTTTTTTTTCCAATCATTTAGTTCAAAATAGAAAATACTCTTTCACATGCTGCTTGATGAGAAACAATAGAAAATAATTTTAATGCTAAATTGTTGTATATAATTGTCTAATTGTTGACAAGTTTGCCACCAAATTTCAGAAGTATCATAATTATCTACATATTTTGTATCATATAGTATAATATTTTCTAAATATTTTCTAAGATAGTAAAATTTTACAACTATTTGTTTTACTACTAAAATTTTTCCAAATTTTCATTGCATATAAACTAATTTTATAAAATACTTTATCTTTAAATCCTTTAGCTAAAATAAAATAAAATTAAATTAATAAATTTTAATTTAAAATAAATAAAATTTAAATTACCTTTATATTTAGGATATAAAAAATAAACAAGAAGATAAGTTAAAAATATCAAATTTTTCCAATACTTATTATAAATTTTAATACATTGTTTTTTGAAATTAAAATTTATAATATTAGAAATATTATAATTGCAATTGTCATTTTAACTAATTCCAAAAAACATAATGCCATATTGCTTGATTTTGTTTTAATTGCATTAATTGTTCTTTTAGCAGATGCAAAAATAATTTCTAATTGCTCTACATCTTGCCAAAATTGATGATTATGAAGAATAGTTTTTATATTTAAAACATCTTGAAAAATTTCAGATTAATTTTCAAGAACTTAAATAAAAATATAAAAATATAAAAATTTAATAATTAATAATTAAATTTAATTAAAAATTAAAAAAATTTATAAATATAATAATAAAAAAATATTATATTTACATTTTTAAAACTATGTTCCAATCGAATAAGTGAATTACAACAATTCCATGCAGTAGACTATCTTGTTTTTACTGAAGTTTTTAATCCTTCACCTTTTACAAAATTATTAATAATATTTTCTTGAAGAGCTGCACCAGTACGATAAGATTATTTAATAAAAGAAATTAAAGTTTGACATTTTGTAAAAACTGCTTTAGTAAAATCTAATTTAATAATATTAGAAATTATAAGATTAATATGATGAGCTATACATCTTATAGATAAAATATGAGAATACTTAGTAGAAATTTTTTTTTGCTAATTGCATAGCTGATTCTGCATCTGTAACAATAACAACAAATTTTTAAGGTCCAATTGAAGTTAAAACCTTTTCAATTTCAGAAGTATTAAAGGAACCAGTATGAGATTGACTTGATTCATCAATTAAAGCATAAATATATTGTTTTCTACTAGGTGTAATAACTACAAAAGCATAAATAGATTTTTCTAAAGAATTAGACCATCCATCTAAAGCTATTAAATAATAAATTATATTAGTATAGTTAAAATTTTGTAATTTAATAAATTTAATTTAATTATATTTTTACCTAATGTTAAATTATTTTCATATTCAAGTTCCTTATTAATTTTAATCAAAACTGTAGAAATTTTTTGATTTAAAATAGTTGTTGAAAGTGTTAATTTATTAGAAGGAATATAACTATAACAAAAACTTTGAATAAAATCTATAAAATATAAATGACCAACTACAGAAAATGAAATATCACAACATATAAAAAATCTAATTAATGCTTGATCAATTCTATTTTTTTTACTTGGTTCAATTTTTATTGTTGAATTATAATAATCAGATACTAATTTTTTAAAACTACTACTATTATTTTTTATTTTTTTTAGAAGAATTAATATTAGCTAATATTTCTAAATATTCTAATTTAATATCTTGAGATATAATATTACAAAATAATGCTAAATGAGATTTTAATTTTTCTGATCTTTCTCTAATCCATTTTTCAGAACAATAATTACATTTTGCTGAATAATGCCCACTTCTAGTAAATTCTTTAATAAAATGATTCCAAACACAAGCTTTTTTATAACTTCTTTTATTTTTTTTGATAGAACTTTCAGATACAATATCAGACATAATATGAATATTTTATAAAATAAAAAAATAATATTTTATATTTATTATTTTAATAATATATACTAGAAATAGAGTGAAATAAAATGTATAATTATATGGAGAGTGAAATATTGTGTACATATATGGGCTTCTGATTGGTATAGTTTTAAATAATATAATATTTTAATTTATATTTCATTTATTTGGCATGTACTATTTTATCAAAATTGCATCAGCATTTTTATTGTATAAAATTTAACTAAGTTGCATTTATATTGCTTAGTACAGATTAGAGTTCTGTATGGGCTGGATTGGGCTGGATATTTTAAAGTCCAGATTCAGCCTATTAAAAATATATACCAATTATTTAGATCCAAATTCAGCCTATATTTAATTAGATAGATCCAAGCCTGGCCCATTATTACACAGTATAATCTATAATATAAACTAAAGCTTAGAACCAAATTACAAGCAATTTATATATTATAAGCAATTTATATATAAGTAGATATGTAATATTGTCATACAAAACCAGGAACAGAAGGTGAATTTTCAGATCAAGTTGCAAATAAAACTGCTTTCATCATGAGTATTTTGTTTGCTTAACTTTTATAAGTTTTATTTGCAACTCTAAATTAGATTATATATGCAGTAAGTTAAATACTAACTATGTTATTTAGATGAATATTATATGCAATTCAGATAGATTAGTATTAGTATGACATAGATATAACATTCTTGCATGTATGTAGTATTTTTAAAATAAATTATTTACTTTTGTTGTTATTTTATTTTATGTAACTAGTAAATATAATAAACATTTATCAATAGGTGTATTTAAAATAAATTATTTATACTATATTAATCCATTATATTTTAGTCAGCAAATTTCATAATTGATTTGTTAAGTACCTGGGTATTTTATATTCACAGCTGCAATTAATCTGTTCTTAGTATCTGAAGCATTTTATATTTTTAGGCCTCTGAAAATTGTAAAGAGTATTATAAAAAGAGTCTTTTAGTCTATGCTGTATAGTGATTTGTGATTAAACGTAAGTGTAAAAAGCAGAGAATCAAGCATTCGATAACAGTAAGTAGGCTAGTAAAGTGATAAATAGTTCAATTATTAAGTGTATATATAAAAAATACATACTATTGAAGCATTAAACTTGGAATAGCTAAAATGAACAAACACAGTTAGATAAAATTTATTATTTTTTAGATAAAATCTGTAACATATTCTAACTATATATAGATTAGATTAAAATTTAATTATGGCTAAATATTTATTGCAATGAGCCTCTAATTATGCAATCTTTCTAAATGCATTCTTAAATCCTAGCTCAAATATATACTTTATCTGCATAAATGCATTTTTTTATTATTTCTTAAAAACATCTCTTATAAAAGTTAAGTCTTTATAAAAGTTACTTAAAGAGTTTTAACTGTAGTACAATTCTAATTAATTTAAGAATTATTATAATTTATCTAATAGGATTAAGACTGAAACTCTTTTTTTTTGAAACAGCATTTGTATAAGTTACTAAACATCATATTTAACTTTCTTAAAAATATAAGAAATTATACAAATGTCTCAGTACTAACCACTTTGCTTTCATACAATATAACTATACAGTTAGAACAGTGAACAAAAACAGATAAAATCAAGAATAACTTAATTAATGTATGACAAGATTAAAAGCTGAGATAATAAATAGAAAAATTAATATTATTCAATAAGCTAGAAAAGATAATTATCTGATCACAAACATTTAATTCACAATTTTTTTTTTTATCAAATGTTAATAGACAAAAGCTTATAAGTAAAAATCTAGAAATCACAAGACAAAGTTACAAGATTATAATAACCAATTGGATAAAAAAAAAGACACACCATTTCAGATGCCTATAAACTATACTCTACATTGTATGTTGTACAAACTCCATTCCCAGTATTCTATTACATTTTTATATTTCATAATTCTAAGCTAAAATTTTTTATAATTATTAATGTTCATATTATTATCACTTGTCTATTATTGAGTATACAATGCCATTTAGTTTTTTTTCACTTGGGCAATGCATAAACATAATGGCAAATATTTAATCTTCAGTCTTCTGTTTTATATATAATATAGCCATAACATGCAATTTTTGTACCACTTTACAAATATCAAATATATAATGGTAAAAAAAAATTTAATTAGTAAATAATTTCAGGCTTGAAAGTATTTTAAAGTTTGCATTAAAGTACTTCAGCACTATAACATTATAGCATTACAGCATTATGGCATTACAGCATTATAGCATTATGGAATTATGGCATTATGGCTAGAGAAAGTGGCACAGCTGTTATGGGCATGCCACTATGGCATGCCAGTGGTGGCATGCCAGTGGCATGCCAAAATCCAAAATAGTATATGGCCATGCCATTTATAGGAGTCGGCTAAAATAAAGTTAATTTAATATACAATCTACATACTACATAAATTACATTTTTGATATCCCTATATAAAAACCCTTATAACTGCATCAAAAAAGTAACTGTAACTACTTCGCTTTGACATCCCCATTTATAATATTAAAAATTTTTTTTACATACTTTGTACTCTTTTATATAAGTGATGCCGAGGAGGAAGCAAACTCGATCATATAGACTTTATATATTCGAAATCTGGTTTTTCCCTAGTGTCGTCTTGTTAATCATACGTATGTTCATGATTGGCCTGATCTTTTACATTTTTATGTGTCAAAATTCCGTGCACTTTCTTATACAATTAATGCTTTTCTATTTGGGTTTTTTTTAAAATCGATAGATCTAATTCTCATAGATGGTCCTGACTTCTAACTATAATTAATTTACATTTAAAGAACTTTGATCTATTCTTTAGCAATTACAGGTATCAATAATAAGTTTTATGTATTACTAGTTGTTAGGCATCTATTTAGTTTTAAAGTGCCAAATTCTATCAGATTATTTTATTAGTATTAGAATTCGCTTTATGCAAATTCATGATAAACAGAATGCTACTATATTCTTACAAAATGGTTTGTAAAAAAAAAAAAAAAGAAATATCTAGGTTTCATTTTTTATCTAACAAAAAAAAATTTTTTTTGATTACTTGTATTCGT